TCGATCTAGGAAGTGTGCATGGTTGTTCGGCCCTCGGAGCCGAACAGCTATGCACCGTGCGGCGGCGGAGGAAAATGTACCCATACCGCTACCCTTTCGTCGTTTTCGCCTTTGGGGGCCTCGAACTCCTGGTCAGAACGCCCCAGAAGAGGTCCGGGAGCAGCGGGATCGGTATTTTTGGTCTTCCCAGTACGGCGGTGGAGCGGGGCCCGAAGGGATTCCAGGCGTCGTAACGTGCAAAGGCGCTGTTCTTGTATATGCGGGCAATGTCCATAGATCCACAACCACTGCGTTTTGGAGTTTCGGGTTCTCTGTTCCAGAAACATGAGGCGCACTGGATATAGATTAAAATCTGGCCCCCAAAGGCTCAATTTTTATCCATATCCAGTGCGCCTCCGCCTTGCGGCGCCCCTTCCAAGAAAGTCCAAGACGCACTGGATATGGACAGAAGTATTGCCCGCAGTATGTCCACTCGCCGGCACTCCTCTCAGTGCCTCGCGGCGCGCTGCGCGCTGGCGCACCTGGGATCCCACCCTGCGCGCCGCGAGGGCGCGGTTGGCCTGGCGGGCGCCGTCGGGGACCGTGTGCGGTGCCTCGACGGGCCGTCTTGGGCCATTCCTGGGCGCCGTGCGTTCGCGCTGTTCGGCAGAAGTCCCAAGGGAGCCTTGTATACCTTCGCTGTCTCGCTTGTAGCGTGCACTCGCATCGGATAGCGCATGGTAGTCGATGAGGAAGCGCCGCATGAGCGTCGACTTAGCGTCGATTTGGCGTCGGTCAGCGCCGATTCGCAAGAGCCAGCAAGTGGTATGGGAGGCTCCCGCGAGTTGACACTGAAGGGCTTCCTCGCGGCCGCTGCGGGGCGCGCGGCCGCGGGTCCGAGCGATGTCGTGAGGTCTCCTCCAGACGCCGTTGAGCGTGGGCAAGGAAGTGACTTCAGAATGAACAGCAGCCCGTGGATGCGCAGGTGGGCAAGGATTGTGGAAGTCGACCCATGGAGAGGAAGCATGCCGCCAAACCATTTACATATATGTCTAAAGCATGCTTCGAACATGTCTTAAACATTGAAAATCCATGGTTGAAGCATTGTGTGAACCTGTCTGTAAACCTTTTAACCACATCTTTGATTCAATGATCTCCTTGTTGGAGTGGTCATTGTCATGTTTTTCACTAGGCAAGGAACGGACGTTAGTATGAGCAGCAGTCCTGTTCGACGTTGCCTACGGCTTGCGCCCATGCCCTCCCTCACGGGGCATCTCGGGGGCCGCTTCGGGGCTTCTTGGAGAGCTCTCGGGGGGGGGGTCTCGGGGTTGCTGCTCGGGGGCGTCGCGGGGCCTCCTGAAGCCTCATGAGGATATCTGTTTGGGTTCCGTGGGGCTTCCCAGGAGGCTTCGTGGAGGCTTGGTGGCTCTTGGGCCATGGGAAGCGTGATGTTCCCGCCAAAAATCGATGGACGTCCTGGGGTCTCAGAGTTGGGTTTGCTTGTGAAAGGTTTCTTGTAGACTGGCATCCAGTGTATCACGGGCCCGTTCGCGTTCAGATTCGTCCACGTTTCAGCTAGACAGGGGGAAGTGCCAGAGCATGAGGTGCAGCTGCGGTTTATTGCCCGGCCTGCTAATTGTACGATCCTTGGTCTGTACACGATCCATGGTATGAGATGCAGATATGGGGATCTCCGCGTCGGCGAAGACTCTGTCCGTATCCGCGACCTCGTGGCCTGGGCCCCTGGCTGGGCTGCGACCCCGCGGATACGGAGCGTGCCTTTCGCGGATGCCCTCTTGGGGTGTATCCGTGCGACCGCGCATCCGCGGGAGCGCACCCCGGAATCCAGACCGCGACGGCGCGGATACGCATATATTCGGAGGTTGATAGGCCTCCTACCCTGACACGTCGATTAGCGAATTGGCCGTTTTTGATTCGCGAGAGGGCGTCGCGGCCGTCATTTGTGCGGGTCCAGGTCCGTCGGTTTCGGACCCAGGCCGTTTTCACTCAAGGGTGAAAGGGAGGCTTGTCCACCGCCGATACCTGTTCGCCGCATGTGATCTCCCTCGACCTGCGAACCCCGCATCCTCGACCAGGAGAGCCGCCGCGGCAGCGGCGCTCCGTCGCCGGCGGTGCTCGCAGCGAGCCGACGCGCACGCGGCTGGGCGTTCGGGCGCGACCCGGGAGGCGTGCCTGCTGCTCCACAAGGCCACGGCGCCGCCGTTCCGCCTTCGGGGCGCGCGGCGGGCCGCCAAGCGGCGAGGTGATGACGGCGGGTCCCGGGAAGGGCTTCGCTGGTGAGCTTAGTTGCCTCGATACGCCCGCTTTGAAGCGCAACACATCCCGTGTTGAAGACGTCCGTGTCGATACGTTGTGCGTTGGCTCCACGTATTGGACCACGTTTTGGCAAAGGTATCGCATCGGGACTACGTTCTCAGCCCACGTGTTGAGCTCCGTATCAACACGCTACGTGTTGCGTGTTGCGTGTTGCGTATCGGAGCAGCTAAGCCTGCTAGGGATCGAGGAGTTGGCACCGATCCCTCGGCGGAAGACGGGCGGACGCTGGTCGAAGAAAAACAGTGGCGGGCCCGTTTGCGGAAGCACGCGGAAGGCCAGCGGAAGCTAGCAGAAGTAGCAAGAGTTCGTTCCACGAGGTGCCAACGAATTCTGGTCCAGGGCCTCCTGAACCGCCCACATGTGGAAGAGGAGGACAGCAGCCGCGGTGGAAGACAAATCGGAGCCGCGCCCGGGCGAGAGGTGAGAGGGGGTCGGCCGTCTCGGAAGGCGGTGGGGCTTCTCAGAAGCCCGCCGGCTTTTGAGAAGCCGTCGGTGTCTTCGGGGACGGATTACACGATTTCTCAGAAGGTTTCTGAGAAACACAGTTCCAAGCGTCGTGGTGTCGAGTATGGCCGTCGCGTTCTCACGCGCACAGGGGCTCCCACATCTCCAGCGGGCTTCTGCCGCTAGTGAAGCAGGGCAGCAGATGTCTTCGTTTGGACAAGAGCGGCGGGCCAGTGTGCCCATTCCATCATCAGTTGAAGACGAAACATTTGGATGAGCGGCAACCTTTGGAGGTCCGCGCGGACCTCCGAACGTTTGTGCTGATGTCGTTATTTCATGTTCTATATTCTTCGCCTAACCCAACCAGCCCATCCAGAAGCGATGCCCAGGCGAGTTGCCCTGATCAGGGATGCAGACGAGCATGCAATGGACAAACGGGTGTGGAAGCCGGCATGCCCGAAGCGGGGTAGGATAGAGGAGGATCCGTAGGAGGAGGAGGAGGAGGAGGAGGAGGAGGAGGAGGATGAGGAGGAGGAGGAGGAGGAGGAGGAGGAGGAGAAGGAGGAGGAGGAGGAGGAGGAGGAGATAAGGAGGAGGATAAGGAGGAGGGGGAGGGGGATAGGGAAGAGGAGGAGGTAGGTAGGTAGGGCAGCCCCGAGGGGAAGAGTCGCGCGCGACTGAGCGCGCCCACCGAGCGGTCGCGACCGCGGGGACCTGGTCACCACCTGAGGTGCCAGGTCCCCGACCGTGTCGTCGGGCTCACACATGCCGACGAGCAACACCATGTGCAGGAAGGGGGGGGGGGGGCGGCGGGCCAGCCGCGAAACGGCCAGGCCCTCACCGTCTCCCGCTGCGACCCCTCGCGGCTCCGGAGGCGCCCGCGGCCGGCGCCAGCTCCAGGCCGACGAGGTCGACCATGCGGGCTGTCGCCTGGCGGCCGCTACCGAAGAGGACGAGCACCTGACCGTCCTCGGGCACGATGGGCCGCCGTCGCCAGCGCAGTAGAGCGTGCCCTCACGCCCATCGGGGAGGCGGACGCGGGAGCTCTCGGCCGCGGCCAGGACCGCACGGGCCGCCGAGGGAGCGTCAGCCGCCGCCCCACCCGCCGCCTCGGGCGCCTCCAGGGCGGCGCCGCCAGCGCCGCCAGCCGCGTCGACGGGGAGGTAAATGATGTCCTTGTCCTTGCCCTTGCCCTGTCCTCCGACGGCCACCGCGGCCGCCGCGCCCGCAGGCGCGCGCCGCAGGCCGTCGGCCCAGCTGTCATCCAGCGAGGCGTCCTCTGACATGGCGCCCTCGCCAGCGGGAGTACCGCCCCAGCAGGGCCACCGTCGAGCAGGGCGCGGGGTGTGGCCGTCCACGTGCATGTCCCGGGTTCCACCTCCAGGTCGTCGAGAACGAGCCCGAGCCCGACTCCGCCGCCGCCTCCACCGTGGGCACAGAGGCGCGGCTGCATTCGGGGGATCGCCATCGCCACCGCCTGCCGCGGGCGCGGGCGCGGGGTGCCGCGGGTCGCCTCCAGGGCCCCGCGGGCGCGTCGTACACAGCGGCGTGGCGCGCAGCGAGCGGCGGGCCGCCCAGCGATGCGAGCCAGGGCCAACGTGGCTTGAGCCAAAATGGCTACGGAAGATGAGGAGGAGGAGGAGGAGGAGGAGGAGAATGATGATGGGGATGAGGAGGGAGCGGGGGAGGGGGAGGGGGAAAGAGAGGAGGGAGGAGGAAGAACATGCGGAGGAGGAGGAGGGGGAGGGACGAGCAGAATCATCAGAAGCCTTTTGGGTGCCTCTCGGAGTCTCTTCGGATCTCTCTGTTGAAGTTTCTTGGAGTCCTTTTGGGGCGTCTTGGGGGCCTCTAGGCGGTCCTGGAGCCCTCTTGGGGCGTCTTCGGTTCCTCGGGGGAGCCTCTTGGGGAACTGTTGAGGCCTCCCGGGTGCCTCTTGGGGCCTTCGCGGGGCATTTTTGGGAGCCTTGCGGGCCGTCTTGGGGTCATCTTGGAGGGGAGCGACCCAAGAAGGGGGGGAGCTCGCCCCCAGGAGGCCACTATGCCAACCTAGGACAATCGATGCTTCATACCTCCTCGCCGAGGCCTTCTTGGATGCTCGCGTCAGTCGCGGGGCGCCCAGTTCAGGTCCAGGGGAGGGTAGGGAGAGGGGTTAAAACAATCTCCAGTCCGCAAGCTGTCTCGCTCACTCCCACATGCCCCCCCAATACAAAAGTAGCACCCGAGCCTCAGCGTGGTCAGCGGTCGTTTATGGATGGACCGCTGCTGGGAACCAAAAACAGACCCCATGTGCGCGATGCTGGGGCGAGGTGCGTCACGCGTGCCAGGCGCGCCACGTGCGTGCGCCAGGTGCGCCAGGCACCCTTGGGGCCCAAGCGTGCCAGGCACGCCTAGCGCGCCGGATGCGTCAGGAGCTCCACATGCGCCATGTGTGCCCGATGCTCCAGCCGCTCCAGGTGCGCCATGTTCGGAGCACGTGCGGAGCGCGGCGGGTGCGCCCGCGCACTTGGCAGCATATATCGGGAAGCATGTCGGCACCCGCCGTCCTTGTAGGAAACCAGTGCGCAGTCGTTGCGGGGTGGCTATCATGGTGTCTGGTGGGCCTGCACAGAGCAGGCATCATGGCAGCACCCACGCCTCCTTGTTGAAAACCCATGCGAAGTGACCGTGGGGTGGCCGCGCATGATCCAGATTTAGCCGCGAAGTGCATTTTGTATTGTTTTATTCACACGGACCCTGCGCACAGATGGCAACATGGTACCCCCCCGCCGTCCCTGTCAAAAGAAACAAAGTTTTCGCGGGGCCCACGAGCATGACCCAAGAAGTTGCCCTTAAGTGTATGTGTATGGCTTTTTGACAGTGGCAGTGGGACTGAGCGCGTCATTGCTCCTAATTGGCTGCCAGTCGCCTGGTGGAGGGTGTGTTTATAGATCGCAAACAGTGATGGGCACCTCCCCGGAGGGGAAGAGAGAAGATGGAAGAGGAAGCGCCCCAAACCATTCACGCCCAGAGAGCTAGTGGGATTCCAATCGATGGTGTGCTCCCCATTCCCCCCCCTCCTCTCGTCCTCGCCCTCCCGTCCCCACCCTCCCGTCCCCACCCTCCCGTCCCCACCCTCCTCTCGTCCCCGCCTTACTCTTTCACCCCCTCCTTTGTCTTCCCCCCTCTTACCTTTCCCCCCCCCCCCTCCCCCTCTCGTCTCCGCCTTCCCGCCTCGCCTGGCCGCCGACCCCCGCCCCCCCCTCCCTGCAGGCCATCGTGGCGGGCGGCAGCGCCCGGCTTCAGGCGCTCTCCCCTCCCCCCCCTTTTCCGCCAAGGGGCTCGCACTCGCTCCCGGGCGCCCGCGGGCGCAGGTGTTGCGTGCACGTCTTGCGGGGGCGTCCAAGAGGGGGGAGCGAGGACGAGAGGCGTGGGTACCATGGCTGAGCAGTGACATCTCCCAGGTGCCGATGCTCCCGTTTCCTCTCTCAGCACGTTTCCTGTCACCCCTCGTCTGCGCACATGCGTCGGGTCATGACCCCTATCGTCCTGACCCCCCTTCGTTGGCGAGGCCGAGTATTGATCGAGCTGCCATGCTCACCGCGAGTCGCGGGTCATGGCTGTCTGCACCCGTGCGATTGGTCCGCGACGGGGGCTCGTCCATAAGCAACACCTGGGGGATCGATCTTCGGGGACCTTGGCAGGCGGTGGAGATGCATATGGTCGGGCCCTGCGGGGGGGCCAAATACATCCGCATCCACCACCTGCCAAAGCTCCCAAGATCGATCCTCCAGGCGGAGGTCATGGAGAAACCCTTGCCACGCAACTACAGCTGCATTCAATGCGGCAACTTCGGGATCCTCCAGCGTTGCATTCACATCCGCGTGCCCTTGCCATTGCCAGTGTCTCTAAATGCAAGACAGCGGCACCCGTTGATGTGTGTGATGTTCTGTGTGCACGTCAGCTTGATACCTCGGCATGCGATAGTATCTTTAATAGTTGGTTGCATCTGCGCGTGAGTTTGTCTATGTGCATGTATACGCACATCCATACTCACAGTATGCCGTTGCGTTCTAGACCAGCGCGGTGTGTTAGATGTGATTGGTTTGCGAAGTTTTGTTTCGAAGAGCGATTCCACGTGAACAACTATTAACCGAACAGACGTTCCAGGGATCAAAGAGTGAATTGTGATCCTCAAACCAGGTGGTGGTGTCGGGAGTGTAACACGTGTCTGAGTTATCTGTTTCTGCCCTCTCTTTTGATCACCCATTTCTTCCCTCTCCCCATGCGCAGGCGGGAAGTGCCTGATCACCCCTGGTCTCGTTGGCCCGCCGGAGCGGGACGCCACCAAGCCACTGCAGAGCGTACTCGTTTGGGCTCTGATTCGGGCAGGCGGACTGCCCGCGGACGCTGTAAGGACGTACCGTGGCGTAGAGGGCGAGCCGATGCGCCATACGCTATTCCGTTGTGGTATCCCCACCGTCCCAGTGTGGCAGCCAGGTCAGCATCTCTCGCGGCTCCGCGGGGGTTGAGAGGAGACGGGGTGTGAGAGGAGGTGCTGCATGCACCCGTTGGGACCTCCAGACACCCCGCTCCCCTTCCCGGCACATTCTCCTCCTCATCCGTGAACCTGGCATCGCTCGGACGTGTGCATTTTTCCTTCGGCGAGGACCATCGAGGAGCATCCTTGATCATTCGGCGAAAAAACCACGCACGAAGCTTGAAAAAAACACAGGGAATGGACGTCCGAGCGATGGCCAGGGAATGTGTTTGTTACACATCGTTCCTCCATGTCTCACTCCCAGGCGTGTCCGTAGGGCGGGTCGGGCGCTTCGCTTCACATTGTCGCACAATGTGTCAGCTTGACATCGGGGCCCAAATAATATACACCACCACGTCGATCCCTCCTCTCTCCTCTTTCCAGCGAGAGGGAGGGGACATGGAGGTGGTAGTGGTGTATATTTTTGGGCCCCCCTTTGACATGTGCAACAGTTTCGCGAGGAGGGGTAGGTTTCAACATGTGGTTCTCGCCTTAGCGCCACGTGCACTTGTTTTGAATATTGGGCCATGTTCACGGCTGGACCGGGGGCGCGTTTTTTTTTGTTTATTCATTTATATATATGTATATATACATATATATATATATATATATGGGTATTGTTTTAGCACCGCTCCAATTCTTCGTAAAGGTTCGCAGCCGCTTCACGGATGGAGAGCTTGTTTTGTCAGAAGGTGGTTTTGCCTTAGCGTTGCGTGCATCCCTATTGCGCGTGTGCAACAGCTTCATGGGTGTGGGGGGGGGTAAATTTGCAGTTCTCGCTTCAACGCCGCACACATTTGTTTCATTGGTTTGGCAGCTTCACAGATGGAGGGCGATTCCGTTTTCAGATTGTGGTTCACGCTTGAGTGACGTGCACGTTCGTTTTCATTATTTGCGTCAGTTTTCTGGATGAGTGGTCTTCTTTGCCGAATTGTGGTTTTCGCTTTAGCGTTGCGCACATTCGTCTTCAGCACTTGCACAGGGATTAGCGCCTCAGCACCGCGCGCATTTGTTTTGCAATGCAACGTTGAGCAGGGTGGACGGCTCTTTTTCAAAATGGAGGTCTCGCCTTGCGTGTTGTGAAATAAGGGCCCAAACCTCAGAGCACGCAGCAATGCACGGATCCATGGCGGCTCTTTTCCAGAATGGATTTGTGGTTTGAGATTCTCTCGAAACTTACGGCCACAATCACAATTCGCGCAACAATGACACGGATGAGGGATGGTGCTTCTTCGAAAGGGGGATCTCGTTGGATACCTCTTTGAATTGTAGGCAGGACCAGTTGCGCTGGTCTTCCAGGGGGATGCTACTTGCATTGGAAGCAGGACTTGTGGGTGCCTATGGGGGGGAGGCTCAGGCTGGGAGGGTGAAACGCAGCATCGGTGATGCATCGGTAGTTTACTCGTGTCATCCTTGCTCCTCCTCCCTCGCCATGCTCCCCATCCCTTCTCCGCTGTCTCCCCCCGTCCACGTTCCCCCCCTCCCCTCCTCCCGCCGCCACCTTCCCTTCCTCCGTCGCCTCCGCAGCCAATTTGGCCCCAGGTCGGCAGTTCCGGCTCCAGCAGCCTCAGCCGATCCCCCCTCCCCCGCAGAGTCGGGGGCCTTCAGGAGGAGGGGGGGGGGCCAGATCGGTGTGGACAGCACGGCGGCCGTGAAGTCCCCCGGACTTCAAGGCCCCCTCTTCTTCTGCCCACGTGTCCCCAGGCCCCCACGCCGCTCCGCGCACACGCCTTGGGACACGAGGCGCTGCGGTCACGACCTCTGGCCCAGCGCGTCGCTCCGCGGGTCCTGGCCCACCACGCCTCGGCTCGACGCGCTGTCCACTTCCCGGCCCCCCGGGCTCGTCGACGTCCCGAGCTCCTCCCAGCTTCCCGCCCCGCGGAGCGCTAGCCGCTCGCGGGGCACAGCGTGCCGCCGGGATCCGCCGCAGCGACGCGCTGAGCAAAGGCTCGTGGCCGGGGCCCCTCTCTCTCTTCCGCGGCGGCGGGGCTTCTCAGAAGGCGGCGGCCTCTCTGAGAGGGCCCTTGTGCTTTCGGAGAAGGAGAAGGCTCCGAAAATCCTGGGAAGCCCAAAAGGCCGAAGGCCTTCCCGGCCTTCTGCGAACACCCGCCCCCTCTCAATGGAAGTAGCGCTCATCCAATTAATGCAAGAGGGGGTGACCAAACATCAATGAGAGGTACGTGCTAGTGGCTTATCCGCTGCGACACGGCTGGGGTGGTCGGTTGAACACCGTCTGCTGCTAGCGTGCGGTCGGGCATGTCCTCTTACAGGCGGATTTTGGAAGAAACATGCAACAAGTAACCAACACATGTTCACAAATAGTCAAACAATCGTCCCCAGACTATTGCATGACTGTTTCTGGATATTCCTCCTGTAGAGGGAAATGACCGACTCAATGCCAGCGACTCCGTGCAAGGCAGTCGCAGCGGAGCAGCAGTCGCACACCCCCCTGGGGGGGTGGGCCTGCCGCCGACTCCTGGCCCCCTTCTCTTCCTGGCGCACCCCGGCCTCTGTGGCAAATCATGGGAGCCTGGCGTGCCCTCCTGTCCGTATCGTTCCACCAGTCCCCGTTCCCATCCCCATCCCCTTCGAGACCCCCACCAAATTACCACCCATCACCATCTACGGGGGGCAAGTCGGCCGCCGGGGCCCAGGCCACGCCGCTGGGGATGGGGATCGGTGAAACGACACCCATCCTGGTTTTGTCCCTAGCATCGATCCGCGTCGATCAGCGTCTGGGAGTGGGTCAGATGGCGCAGGTGTAGCTTCGGCTGCCGTCGAGTGGCGTCGATCCAGCGCCGATGCCAGCGCCGATTCAACGTCGCCTGGCGTCGGTTCGTGAGAGCCGGCAAGAAGGTATTTGGGAGGCCCCCATGAGTTGCCACCGAGCCCAGCAGAAGCGAGATGCTGTGCCGCACGGCGTCGCGCCTCGCGGCGCGGCGCTCCCAGGCGCGCCTGGCGGAGGTCGCGGCCGCGGTCCGCCCCTTCCCGCGCCCCCAGCCAGGCCTCGGCCACGCGCAGAGGGGGGAGGGGCAGGGGGCGGGGGGAAGGCTTCTCAGAAGCGCCCCTGCTTCAGAATGCGCGGACCTTGTCTGCAGATGCAGGGCCGGCACCTTCTGAGAAGCAGCCTCCTGCCAAGAAGCCTTCCTCCCTCCCCTGGGAGCAGATACCGATACCACTACCCCTGCCTCCTTTTCCCCTTTTTGGGCCTCCTCGGAGGCTCTCGTCGCCACCGCTGGATTCGCCTCGAAATTCTTGTCAGAACGCACTCAAGGAGAGGTCCGGGGAGTAGCGGTATCGGTGCCGTTTGGTTTCCCCAAGGCCAGGAGAACGTGCCGCCGAAGGACGGGCTCGACCCGGCGAAGCAGAAGCAGGCGGTCGAAGTAGAAACGTGCATGAGCACATGAGATCGTGCACATGGATTTTCGGGGGAGGAGGGGGGGGAGAGAGGGGCCGGAGGGGAGAATTTGGAGGGGGATTCGAGTTCAAGAAGATGCATGTTCTTAGACTACAGGATGGTTGCGATGACCTCCGAAATGGTATGTCTGGATGGTTGTCGTCGTCATGAATTTCATCCTCGTGATCGCCTCATCGTCGTCGTCAGCGTCGTCATCGTCGTTGTCATCGTCGTCATTGCCATCATCATCATCATCATCATCATCAGCAGCATCATCATCATCGTTATCGTCATCATCATCATCATGATCATCATGATCATCATCATCATCATCATCATCATCATCATCATCATCATCATCATGATCATCATGATCATCATCATCGTCGTCGTCGTCGTCGTCATCGTCATCGTCAACACCATCATCGTCGTCGTCGCCGTCGTTACGGTCATCGGCATCGCCGTCATCACCGTCATTACCGTCATCGTCATCGTCGAAATCGTTGTTATCACCATCGCCATCGCCGTCATCATCATCATCATCATCATCATCATCATCATCATGATCATCATCATCATCATCATCATCATCACCATCATCATCATCATCATCATCATCATGATCATCGTTATCAGCATGATCATCATCATCATCGTCGTCGTCGTCGCCGTCGTCACGGTCATCGTCATCGCCGTCATCATGGTCATAGACGGCAGACGTCATCGTCATCGTCATCGCCGTCATCATCGTATTCATCGTGGACCACCCCGTTATCGACACATGCTAACTCTTCCGAGGCGTTTGGCTACGGCGACGTCCTGCCCAGGGATGCCCCTGGGCTCGGCGACGCAATGGCCCACCCGCCGGACACGCCAGCGCAGACGGCGAAGTACATTTGGAAGGGCATTCGGGCATTGAGAGAACGCCCACCTGTTTTGAATGTCTTTGATTGACATCAAAAAACCCGCTGTTGGATGAGCTCAGATGGCTTTTGAATGATTGCAGGAAGCCGTTCTATATGAGAGCCTGCCCGAGTTGGCCCAGCACTGGTTCCGGCCAGCAGGAAGCGGGGGGGACATCGAGGTGTTGGATGCGGGAAGGTGTTTTGTTTTTGCGTCCTCCAGGGTTGAACAATTGGTGCAGGGGGACCCTGGGAGGGGTCTCGTGACCAGTTTTGATCAGATTCGCTGTCATTTCCCCGTCCTGACCGTTTCTGTTGGGGCACATCCAGCCCAGGCTGCATGGCCGCCTCCAACACCCAGGCAAGTCGACTGAGGAAATCCACACTGGTTTTTTCTCGGCACCTGGCATGCGAGGGAGCCGGTGCAATCCCCTTTCGATTTCGCCAGTCGGAATGCGTTTTGCCAGACAGAATTGGTTGTTTTTGAACGGCGGTTCGCTCTTCCGCTGGTGTCCGCTCGTAACGCCGTGCCTTGCGCACGCGGAGTGCCCCTGGCAGCTTTCACTCAATCGGGGGCGAGCGAGGGGGGTAAGTGAGAAGAAGAAGGCCCTCTCAGAAGGCGGCGGGATTTCTGAGACGCTCCTCCCGCATTCTGAGAGGTTTTAGTGTGTGTGTGTGTGTCGGGGGAAGGCTCAGAAGACTTGTCAGAAGGCTGCGGGACTTCAGATCCTTCTGAGAAGGCCTCCTCCTTCTCATGCACCCCCCTCGCTCGCCGCCGAGCCAGGGGCGTTTTGATAAGAGGGTGTGCTGTCAACCTTCGAGGCATGACCAACGTCCCGAAGAGGAAGGCGACCGAAGGGCGCAAATGGCACACGCACAAGTGTGCCCTTGCCAGATTCGTCTTGGGCCCACGATCGTTGTGCACGCCCTCCTGGCCAATATACAGAGACGTAGCTGCCTCAATGCGCCCGTCTTGAAGCGCAAGACGTACCGTGCTTAAAACGTCCGTATCAACACGTTTCGTGCTGGCTCAGCGTATTGGCACACGTTTTGGCGAGCGTACCGCGCTAGACCCACGTAGTCCGCCTACGCATTGAGCTCCGTGTCAACATGCTACGTGTTGCGTGTTGCCTATCGGGGCAGCTAAGTCCAGATCTAGTGAGAGAACGAGCGTATCTGTTCCCGTCGCCGCGCCGTCTGCTCCGACGCGCGGCCTTACGTTTTGGGGAGCGCGGCTCGGCCACCAGGGCAAGTTCCGCCTCGGACACGGCAGGTTCGCAGTGGGTTCGCCGCGGTGCCGGCCGGCTGCGTCCACCTTGGGCGCGGGACGCAGGGCCTGCCGTGGGTTTGGCATGATGTCGGCGTCGTCCATTGGGGCGCGTCGAGAAACAACGGCGCGGCTTCTTTTTTTCGTACACATATCAATACGGATATGAATGTATGTATGTATATACATGTCTAGAGAGAGACAGAAGGAGAGAGCGAGACAGAGGGACATAACGTGATGAAACACATGCACAGTTACTTGTCGAGGGGGGGGGGAGAGAGAGAGAGAGAGAGAGAGGCTAATCCAGGAGTGTCTACACACCGATGATGGGCCCAGAGTGGACCTGGCCAGGGCTGGTGCGAGTGCACAGCCCGCGCCACCCCAGGAGATCATCGAGGGCTTCGGGTACCCGGGGCAGAAGCACAGCGCCGGGGGCATCACGACCGTCGGCCGCATCTACTACGGCCCGGGCCGCTATGACTACGGGCGGCCGGTGATGCCCAAGGTCGGTACGATCGGAAGGGGTAACTACGGGAAGGAATGCCGCCATGATGCAAGCGGGTCCCGAGGAAAACGGGTCCTGAGGTTTTCCGCCGTCTTCGGGCCGCCTGGTTGGCATAAAACGCGTGTTATCAAAAAAGAGCGTGAGATGTTTGTCCTGACTGACGCTGTTATGGAACATCAAACGTTTGTTCAGGATGATCGGTTGTGAGAAGCGTGTGATGTTCTATATTCGGGTCCTGCGGTTTTCCGCCGTTCTCGGGAAACTGGGCCGAGCAAGCGGCCTCTGCACTTACCGGAAAAAATCCTTCACTGCTGCGGCGTCGCCAGCACCCTCACCGCATGGAGATTAAATGATCCTCTCCATTGCTGCGGGCGTCGCTTGCGCCCTCACAACCTCACAAGGTTTCCCGCCGTGCTCGGGCCCCCAGGATCGGGCCGAGCGAATGGGGCGGATATGGAAAGCGGGGGTTACGAAATCTGCTGCGTACGGCTGGTTTCGGCCCCGCCGCCAGGCCCATCCCTCGATACATGGGCGCCTTCCGGCGCCGGGCCCACCCCTCGCTGGGAGGCGCTGGGAAAATCAGCTACGTGAGCTGAGTCTCTACCCTGCCCTGAAGTCGGACCTGTCCCTCTACAGGAGGAATATTCAAAAATAGTAAAACAATAATACGGGGACGATTTCATTTTTCGCCCAAAATCCCCCTGTAGGGGGACACGCCCGACTTCAGCCTACCCTTTGCTAAGGGGGCGTGGAGTAGCGTTAAGTCGGGCCTGTCCCTCTACAGGGGGAAAATTCAAAAGTAGTTTTCACATTGTCTGGGGACGATTGTTTGACTTTGTTTGACAGTTTTGGGGCACCGTTTGAAATGTTGTTTCATAATCCATCCAACATCCGCCTGAAGGATACATGCCCGACCTAAGATTACCGACGAGTCCAGTTTCCATTGGAAATCGCGGATTTCCGCCGCCGATCGAGGCGGCACCGGCCGTATTTTGGGGAGGGCACCTCCCCCGATCCATGGATTTGGCGACCGCGCGCCAAATCCATGGATCGCTAATCCATGTTTGCGCGCCCCCGATTGTTGCACGCCCAATGGAACAGGGACGAAAGCCGAAGGCAGTTCGCCGAACTCCCAACGGAGGATATGGTACCAATACCGCTACCCTTCTTCGAGGAAGAGAAAACGCCATACACATAAAGTTTTGGCGCTCCGCGCTGGATTTCTTGGAGCTGCGCTTGGCCCAATTGGCGCCGCCCCTGGCGCGCTCCGCGCACCAAGGAGAGGAGACCGGCGCAGATCCAAGAAATCCGCGCGAAGCGCCAACAGTTTATGTTTATGCCGTTTTTTGTCCTTCTTCTTCTTCGTCTTCTTCTTCTACTTCCCTCGTTTTCGGCATTTCGGGCCTCCCCGGAGGCCCTCGTCGCCATCGTTGGATTCGCCTCGAAATTCTGGTCAGGACGCACCCCGGGAGATGTCCGGGGAGCAGCGGCATCGGCACGCGATGGTTTCCCCAGGACCCGTTGTCGATATTCGTTGCGCCGATGTCGCGTGCGAGCTCAAGTTGTCCCGAGAAGCCCTTGAGTTTATCAAAGTAGCCCCGAGCGGTCTCAAGTCTGGGATGCCGCCTGCGATGGCCACCCTGCAGCGCTCCGCACCGCCCGCGCCCTGGGGCTTGGGTGTTGAGACCGCCCTGGGTATCTCAGGGGGTCTGTGGAGGCCAACCGGGACTACGTGGGGGCGCTCCAAAGATGGGCCTTGCGTTCGAGGAACGAAGGAGTTGCCATCTCTTCCTCGGCGGAAGCTCGGCGGAAACTCGGTGGAAGACGGCGGAAGTAAAAGATGTGTCCCCCCAAGATATGACAACGTTTTCGGGTGCAGGGTTTCCGAAATCGCCAACGTGAGGGGGTGGATGTCTGAATGGAACTCGTTGTCGATGTCACCGTGGACGCGGCCCGTTTGAGACAGAGGGCCGCCTGCCCAGCGGCTTGGCGTCGTACAATTGTGATCCATGCTCATTTCGGGCATGCCGACCAGGGCTGGTTCCAGAATTTCTTCTACGGCTTCTGGGAGTTCGGCCACCTCATGTTCGTGGTCGACCGCTGGATCGCCATACGCCAGCTCCGCCACTTCCTCGGCATCATGATCTGCTTCGTCCCCTTCTGGATCCAGATGCAGTGGAACGTGCAGATGTGGGAGGACTTCAAGAAGACGCACGCGAACTGAGGCGATGGACCGACAGCTCTGCCCGGCCGTGCAGCGATGGGGTCGGTTTCATCTGATTGTCGCCTTAACGTATCTTCTTGCTCTTCCCCCACCTTGGGCGATCGACGTTTTATCCTCAGATGTGCGGCGCCTCGAACAACATCGAGGCGGCGGGTGTGTTGCTACGGTCGGTCTCTACAGGACAGGCTTCGGGCTTCAGAAACGGGCCCCGGGGACGAGGTCGATCGGTCCGACTGGCCCACGCATCACATAAATCAAAGCGGTGAATGTTTGTGTCCATGCCCCTGTGCCCAAGCACCACGCGTGGCTCCAGAGACTGGCCACTGGAAGCCAACATCCCCCAAACAGTTTTTGCACTGAGGGCTTCTTGCTCGCTTCCTGAGTATTTGGCCTGGTCCTCCAGGTTTGAGGTAGTTTTTTCTTCAGAGCCTGGCAGTTACTTGCATGGAGGATGGGAAGGGGCGGGGCGTGGTGGGGCCCAAAAGGAATTCTGGAATTCACGCAAGTCGGGAATCACTTGCATGCACGCCTTTTCCGGCCCAGCGCTCTTGGAGAAGGCGGCGGAAGGGGGGGGAGGAGGAACATGCCATGCAAGTAAGCTCGCCTACGTCCAGAAGACAAGCAAACGGCCTCTCGTTTCCTCAGTGGTTTGGCCCGCTCTTCCGCGTGTTCGCCCTGTGGGCGCCTCCTGGACTCCCTGGTCGCTGGCTGGAGGTTCCGAGCTCCGAGCTTTGGCCCCGTGGGCGCCACCCGTGTGCCTCTTGGGCGCCTCGTGCCGCGGCTCCCGGTTCAGCATGCACAGCGTTTCTTGCACAACGTTGGCGTTTGCGCCTAACCTCGGCGGCGAGCGTGGGGGGGAAGTGAGAAGGAGGAGGCCTTCTCAGAAGGTTCGGAAGTCCCCCGGCCTTCTGAGACGTTTTCTAAGCCTTCCCTAAAGACAGAACATACTTCTCAGAAGGCGCGAGGGCTTCTGAGAAGTCCCGCTGCCTTCTGAGAAGGCCTTCTTCTTCTCATTTCCCCCCCTCGCCCGCCGCCAACAAGCGATCTTATTGCGAAGACCTTGCGGCCGGTGCCGCCTACCCGGAAGCAGGACGACCACGACGACGACAACAGCGGCGGCGGCGGCGACGGCGACGGCAACGGCGACGATTGCGACGACGAAAAACATTTAAGGATTAAGGGAAATCGTTGAGTTGATCCTCTTTGGTTTGCCTTGGGAGTGTTCTTGTGGCTATCTTGGGCCTCTTGGAGGCCTCTTGGGGTCTTCTTGGCTAGCTTGCACCACGTAGACATCTGCCCCTCGAGAATAGCGAAAACGGAACCCTACCCTTGCCGATCAACGATTCAGGCAATTTTATGGGCTGCGGGGGGAGGACTCGGAATTTGCCGAACACGTGGCGCAATCTGAACCCTACTTCCGCCTGCCATCGATTTGGGCGAACTGATGCTCCGTGAGGGCAGGGTTAAGATGTCGCCACCTATATACCCCCATGCCGAGGATCGGGCTGAGGGGGTTCCGCTCGCGCGAACCCATCTCAGGTTGCAGTGGACTCGTGCTTCTCGTGGCCCAGCCAGGATAGCTCCCTATTCGTCCTTCGCCGGGCACACAACGGAGCCGCCCCAGACCACACTTCCGAGAGAACTCGGGCGTTCAACCACTCCGGAGTCTTCCGGGCGGGGGTCTGTCAGGAGTAATATTGGTGCTTGCTTTGGGGGCCAGACCAGAATTATTCCACACCCGAGTTCTCCCGGATACCTCGGGAGTCCAAGGCGACGTTGTTGTGTGTAGGCACGCGCACGAACAAGTACGCCTTCCGATTTATGTGTTTTCCACATCCATCTCACTGGTGTTCGGAGTATGCGAAAAATCAGCGCCTGCCTCGGGCTTCTGATGTTCATCTGATTGCGCAATTGTGTGTATATGATTTGGGCACCTGCGTTAGCGCCAGCGACGGGCTGATTTTCCAAGTCGTCATTGCGCATCCTCTGTGTCCTTGTCTTCCTTCTCCTGTGGCTCTTCAGGCGAGCAGTCGTCTCGAGACGTCTTCCGAATCGCTTCCCGCCGCGCCGCACCTCGGGGGTATTGATGTGCACCATTGTTCTTTTGTAAGGTTGTAGGAATTCATCAAAGCTGGGCCCCTCTTCTACTTTGCCCCTCAACCCTGTCACATAATAGTGTCGGGACCAATCGCTTTGATCTTAGAAGAGCATGTTCACAGAATCCGCATCAGATCATGGCATTCTGGCCACATGCGCGCACATGTCAAAAGCGTTGCGACACTACTGGATAAGAAACTGCAGATCTCTGCGAGCGCGCACTTCGTCATCATCTTCATCTGCACAATCGTTCTCAGAATGGCCAGCGTCATCATTGCCATCGTCATCATCACCATCATCATCGTCGCCGTCACTACCACCATCTGCGCCATCATCCTCATCGTTGATGCCGTAACCTCCATCAAATGTCTGCACGCGGGCCATTACCTATCATCCTCAGCAGCAACATCGTCATCACAACCTCCAGCGTCATCACTCCCACCGTCACTGGCATTATCATCAGCAGCTTTATCACCATCACCGTCGTCGTCGTCGTCGACTCCGTCCCAACCGGCGTCAGGAATGTCGTCAGCGTCGACATCATCGTACTCGCCGTTGTCGCCGCCCAGCTGAGTTTTGCCAAGAAGTTGCAGGTCCGTGGATGGGATTGCCAGGAGTTGTTAAGGTTGTCACGCGCAGATGCGGTCAAGTGCATCGAGTGCACCGCATCGAGTGCACAGCGAAAGTGCGACAATTCACTGTTCGGTGTCCCCGCTGGCAAGCACTTCTATCCATATACCCTACCCCCTTGGCCTCCAGCACTGCAGACAGTAATAGGGGTATGGGTAAAGCTTCGATCGTCGACTCCTCCTTTGGTCACCCAAGGACACCTTGCTCACCAGTCGGAGGGGTTGGATGTATACACCACGTCGCTTGGCCGGCAGAGGAGGCAAGGAGTTCTGAGATAGACGCTCCAGCATCCCGCAGCCCGAGAAGCTGTGGAGTCTGTACACCGAGCTCCTTGGCCGGCCGGACGACCTGGTGCATACTTCGAGGCCCTCCCAGCCAGCACGTCGAGGAGGCATGGGGAACAGGGGGCAGCGGTTGTTCTCCTCCCCGTTTTTGCTCCTTCCCACCGCGAGGTGCTGGACCTCAACAACGTCCGCGTCGGCGACATTGGCGCCGCGCGCATCGCGCAGGCCTCTGCCCCCCAGACGCCCCGTGGGCGCAAGCGGGCTTTCGCGGGAAAGGGGGGGCAACCAAGCGAGGTGCCAGTGAGAGGGACGGCGCGGTGGTGATGATCTTGATGATGCGAATGACAGCGGATAATGAGGCGCGCATGATGGTGGTAACGCATACTACGGAGAGGAGGAATAAAAGCGGCAGGCAGGGGAGCTAGAGAGAGTATTATTCTCTTCTACGCGTGCTCCTCCGATTCCCCCTGATCGTTCGCCAATGTGTCCCGCTCATGGTCCTTCTCCTCCTGCTTGTCCGCCTCCCTTGTTCGACGCTTCGCCTCCTTGTCCGCCTTCTCCTCCTCATCATTGTCTTTGGTCTTTATCCGTGTCCTGGTCCTCTTCGTGTTCCTTCTCATCATCATTATTATTATCATTGATGTTGTCCTCACGCTGTTTCCCATATCCTCCATACCCCACTCAACCTCATTCTCGTTACCTTTGTCACCATTGTGGTCCGCGTCCTCCTACCCATCCTCACCGTCACCGTCACCCGGGGAGGGGGGAGGGCTTCTCAGAAGGAGGCTGCTTCTGGGAGGGCGCGGGCCTTCTCTACAGATGTAAGGGGAGGCCACGCCTCCTGAGAAGCGGGGGTGCTTCTAAGAAGCCTTCCCGCTCCCCCTTAGCCCCCCCCCTGCGCGCCGCCCCTCCCCGTCGCCCTGACCCTCCTGTCCCTCGTCCTCGGGGCGAGGGGGAGACCCGGGCGGACAGAAGAGGGGAGGGATGGGGCACCGCGGGGCAGCGCCCGGACATCACCACCTACCAAACCACCCCAACCCAACCCGAAGGCCTCAATTTGCCCTCCGTTTCCAGTGGTGGGGGGGGGAACATCGAAAAAACACGTATGGAACCCATACCCCCCCAACCCGAAATTCGGGTCTTCGGGTTGGGTTGGGGTGGTCTGGTAGGTAGTCAGGACAGGACAGCACCCGCCCAAGACGCTGACATCAGCACCGCTTCGGGTCTGGAAAGATCGGGCGATCGCAAACATGGATCAAGGGGCCGTGGATTAGCGCGGGTCCCGTTTCCACGGGGAATCGCGGATCTCCGCCGCCGAACGAGGCGGCACCGGCCGCATTTTGGGGAGGGCACCTCCCGCGATCCATGTATTTGGTGACCGCGCGCCAAATCCATTGATCGCTAATCCATGTTTGCGCGCACCCGAGATGGGGCGCAGCGGGGCAGCGCCCGGACAGGAAAGCACAGACCCAAGACGCTGACATCAGCACCGCTTCGCGTGTGGAATCGAAGAAGAGAAAACCCAATAAACATAAACTTGGATCCGCCCTGGGCCCCCCTGGCGCGCTCCTCGCGCCAGGGAGGGAGGTCGGGCGCAAATCCAAGAATTCCGCGCGGAGCGCCAAAAGTTTATGTTTATGTTTATGTTTTTTGTTGTTATTCTTCTATGGAAGCAGCTCCCTACTCTTTGGGTCCCTCCGTGGCTCCTCCTCCAGCCCTCCTCGTGCACCCGGGCTCTCCCAGCGGTGCCGGAGAGGGGCGCCCCGCTCCTCGTCCGGCGCTCCCCGGTGCAGCGGTTGGGCCTGTGGTGGGAGCGGGAAAAGCGGGAACGGCAGCGGGGTTGGAGGAGACGGGTCTTGTGGGGGTCGCATGCGGACGGTAACACTGTGACCTTCGGTGGAGCTCCCTGTGGGGCCACGAAACGCTGTACTGGGTGTGCGGGACGCACGCGGACAGTAGCATTGGGACCTTCGGTGGGGCTCCTTATGGGGCCACGAAACGCTGTACTGGGTGTGCGAAACGGGTCCTGGACCTTGGAGCCCTCCTCCACGATGAGCTCTTCCTCCCGAGTCGTTTGCTGACGGCCCCGGGGCCCGTGGAGGGCCCCGAGAGACCTAAGACGGCGAGAAATGCCAGGACCCGTTTCCCTCAGGACCCGCTTGCCCCCTTGGCGAGAGATCGTGCTAAGCATGTATGGCACTGTGTGGGTGCAGCGCGCCCCGTTCGGCTCGCCGAACTTCTCTCTCTGCCTGCCGGTGGAGGCGGTGTGGCGGGTGATTCGGCGCGCTGTGCTTCCTCTTCCTCTTCGGCTCCATCACTCGGCGTTGTGCCCTCGCCGTGGTCTCCTGGAGGTTGTTTGGTTCCCGCTCGTGCTTCTCTTCGACAGCCCCTTGATGCCGACCGCCTTCCGGGTTTGCCTGGAGCTGGTTCTAGCCACGCGCAGAGGGTGGTGGTGGGAGGGGGGGGGGCTTCTTAGAAGCACCCCTGGATCTTAGACGGCGCGGGCCTCATCTATAGATGCAAGGCCGGCGCCTTCTAAGAAGCAGCCGCCTTCTAAGGAGCCCTTCCCCCCTCCCCCCACCCCCTTTGCGCGCCGCCAACAGAGGGTGAGCAGGCGGCAGCTGGTGTTGCGGTTTCCCGATCCGCCGACGCGGTGGGCGTCGAGGACGTCTCTTTTGCGGTTGCTGCAGGGAGCCATCATGCTGCAGGCGTGGCTCCTGCCGCTGGCCCGCTGCCGCCACTCGCGCGGGCGCCCACTCAATGCTTTGGATTAAGTCGGGCGTCTCCCCCTATAGGGAGAATATTCAAAATTAGGAAAAATATAGTCTGGGGACGGTGTTTTGACTATGTTTGCCAATTTTTGGGGTGATATTTTTTGAGTATTTTTAATGTTTCGCCCAAAAGTCCCCCTGTAGGGCGACACGCCCGACTTAAGGTTTGGACTCACTGGATCCTGGGGGGTGCTTCTTTTCAGCGCATGTGCCTCCTCTGTGGTTTGCCCCGCTGCTGCCGGATCGCGCGCTGGGCTTCCGTTTCTTCGGTACGTCGTCGGCGATTCCGATGATGTGGACCCTGTGGACGAGTTCGATCTCAGCGGCGTCGGCTTCTAATTGCTCGCGCGTTCGTCCTGCTGGAACGGTTAGATATGGCTGCTGATGCTTGCGTTGGGCTAGCGGCACTCCGCGCCTGTTGTCGCATTGCAGTATTTTCTCGAGAGGGGCACGGGCTTGCTGATGCGATTCGATCGTATGTTCTGTGGCACCGCTGGTCGACGATATCGAGCATCGCATCTGGGCTGTGTGTTCGGCATTTCGAGTTCCATCTTAATTTTCGCGGCCCCGCCCCTGGTGAGGGGCCCTTGGCCGTTGATGCCAACCAAAACCTTGGCGAGAGGAGGAGCGACGGAGCCGAGCGCTCCCCGCCTCTGCCCTGGCTCCCGGGCGCCCCCCCCGCTCCACGCCCACCGAGCCACGCCGACCCAGCCCGCAGGCTCCTGCGTGCCCTCCATTCCCAGTGTCGGGGGCGGCCACGAGGGGGGTGATGACTAGGGGGGGGGGGGGGGATCTCATGGCGGGGGCCATGATATTTCCCCAGATCTCATGGCGCCTCTTCTCACTTCAGTGCGGCCCCACCCACCCACCCCAGGGCCGCGCACATGTCGCCGGCCACGATTCGCGACCCCCCCCTCTTGGAGGCCCCACTCTTTGGCCGCCCCCGACGGTGTGGGGGGGATCTTGGAACATGAGCAAAGCGCATGTGGAGCCCGCACCCCCCTGAGATCCGACGTTACGTACAAAAATGGCAGCATCGCAAACAATCACGACCGGAGCCCCAGACCCCACCTTGGTGCGCCATGCTTCGAGCCGCATCGACCTGCAGAGCAGCGCGCACGGAGCTGCGCCCGCTGCGGAGGAGCTGCCGTGCTCGCGGGCAGAGGGCGCAATTGGCGCGCGCGGGGCATCCTGGGAGGGGGGCCTGGGTCGGAAACTGGAACATACACAATGCCAGGACGTTTGAGGGTCGGGGACGACGTCGGGGTGGTGTGGTGTCTACTTTTTCCCCGTTTCCCCCGGGAAGCAACGAAACATGTATACACCAGGACCCCATATTCGGTGGAGCGTAAGACCCGGGTTTGCCAGGACTCGGGTTCGCCATTTTTTTTGACGACCGCGACTCGGATTTTGATGAGTAGGAGTTTCGTGGGATGTCTGCAGCGGGAGGCCTCGTCAAAATGCAGGCTCGGCCTCGTCATTTTTTTGACGACCTCGTCGGGGATTTCCGAGTCCCCCGTGCCCGGGTCTTACGTCTCCCCGACATATACACCAGGATCCGCTTTCTTGTGAGAGTTTCAGCGCAGGGCCGGAAAAAGCGCTGGTGTATAGAGGTCGGCTCCCTACCCGGAGGGTCCCAGGCCCAGCCCCCCCTCTCGCGCTGTGAACGCCTGCTGCGGGAGGTGTACCGCTGTCTTCGGCCTTTCTGGGGCCCCATGCCATGCCTCGGGGCCGTCAGACAACGACTAGGGATGCAAAGCTGGTCCTGGGGAAGGGGTCGAGACTTCTGGGGGTCGACGTGGCAGCACAAATCGCGACGTCGCGGGTCTTGGGCCTTGGGGGGGGGGGTGCAGAGGTGGCCGGCCTCCCAGAGCAGGCGAGGCGGCGACCCCTTCGGCGGTGACCCCCCGGGGCACTGCCTGGCTCTTGCGGGGGAGGAGGGGCAGGCACGGGCACAAATGCACCCACAGATCCGACGCTCCAAGCAAAGATTGGAACGGCCGGGTTCGGGCCGTTTGCGGCCTCCGGGGCCCCTCGCCGGCCTCGGGACCGTCAGAACACGGCTCGGGGCGATAAATTGGCCCTGGGGGGGTGTTCCAGAGAGAAAGGTACCCATGCCGATACCGATGCCCTTCTCCCGTCGTCCCTTTTTGTTCGGCCTCCTGGGAGGTCATCGTTGCCACAAGGTCCCGTTCCGGACGCACCGGGGAGAGGTCCGGGGAGTAGCGTTGTCGGTATTGTTTGGGTTCCCCAGCTCAGGGGGGGATGCAGTGGGGTGGGGGGGCCTTCTCCGAAGGCTCGGACGGGCTCGGGCCTTCTGAAAAGTTTTCTGGGCCATCCGCCAAGACGTTGGAATCTTCCCAGGAGGCGCGAGCACTTCTGAGAAGCCCCGCCACTTTCTGGGGACGCCTGCCCCTTCTCACTTGTCCCCTGGGGCTCGCCGCCGATCCTCTGCTGGCGTCCCGGGGGAGGGGGGGATGCGAGAGGATAGTCGGGGGCGGAGTGGAGAAGGGAGAGGGGCAGGGAACTCGAAGAGCCGACAAACGACATACGTAGCACGAGCTTTCGGAGGTGAAGCGGAGTTCTTCGACCCGCGCTGGCCAAGGGCGGCTCAGGACGCGTTGCCAGGAAGCTCCAGTGCCGATACAAGAAATTCACGCGGACCTCCGAAAGCCTAAATGTTGATACGATGTTTTTCTTCCTCTAGGGACAGGAGAAGTGGGAGGCGGACTTGGAGAGGAAGACACGCGCGGGGACAATGGGAAAGGCGGTGGGCAGGGCAATGGGAGGGAGAGCTCGAGGGACGGGGTCAGATGAGTCTGACCAGGGGCAGAAGAGAAAAAAGTGGGTCTTTACCGAACATGAAATTGGACACCGTAAATTTAGCAATTGCAGTTTCTTGTGTGGGGAATCTAGATGTTCGATGAGTTCTGAACCTTGACGGGCGGTATTTCGGACAAGAAGGTGAGAATGCTCACCCTGGCTCTCCCCATCTCCCTTCGACAACTCCTGGGGTGAAGTTCTTGCGGGGAATGCCTGGAGCGGGTTTCGGCTGAAGCTCCTGCGGTGATGGACCTTGCGTGTTTCTGCAGAGACTATTGGGCGGGCTTTCTCGGGGAAGGCCCCTGGGAGTAGCTCCCGTGGATGCTTCCTGGAGAAGTCTCTGGTGGCGTACTCCTTGAAGGTTGTTGCGGCGATGGCGAGGATCCTAGAGATCCTCTGGGTGCGGTCCCAGGGGGCTCCATGAGAAGGCTCTTGGTAGTACACCCTTTGATGCTCCCTCGTTGGAGGTGGTCGTCCCGGGCTGCCTGTCGTTGCCGTTTGTCGTTGCCGCATGTCGTTGCCTCGGGCCGAAGTCGCCTCGCGGCGGTTGCCTCGGGCCGCGTGTCGGTGCCCTGGGGTTCCTTCGGCCCCGTCGGTCTGCGCGACGCCGGTGATGGAGGTCGCCTCAGGAGCTCTTCCTCCTCCGCCTCGAGGGTTCGTGGGGGGGGGTCCCAGGGGGGGGTAGCAGCACGAACCCGGATGGATGCTCGCATTGCTTCTTCGGGTGTTCCTCTCACTGTCAACTCCACCTCTGCCCCGATCCTCCTCGTGATTATCCTCGGCGGCGGCGGCGGCAAGGCGCTCGTGCGCAACCAGCTCCTCAGGCGGGGCGGGGGGAGAGGGGGCAGCCTGGGGCCTGGGGCGCGAAGCAGCGGAGGGGAGGAGGAGCAGCAGCGGCGCTTGGAGGGGCGGAGGGGGAGGGAAGGGCGGGTGCTTCCAGAGGTGTCCCTGGCCCAGAGTGCCCCCCATTTCTCCGCGCTTGGGGCCCCCTGAGCCCTGGGGCCCCCTGGGTTTCGCGAGGGATGCTCTGGAGGCCACCTGGGCCTCGCTGGAGACCGCCTGAGCCAGCTGGGACCAGGGCCACCACTTGCAGCACCCGGGAGGAGGGATTCAGCGGCGCGGGAGTGCCGGAGAGGTGGCGGACATCGCGGCGATGAGGAGGAGGAGGAGGAGGAGGAGGAGGAGGAGCTGGAGGGACGGAAAGTCAGAGGAGCATGAGGAGGGACGGTAAGAGGAGGGGGAAGAGGAGGAGGTGGCGGAGGAGGAGGAGAAGGAGGAGGGGGATGGAGAGGAGCAGGAGGAAGAGGAGGAGGAGGAGGAGGAGGAGGACGACGAGACGCTGGAGGGACGGACAGTGAGAGGAGCAGGAGGAGGGACGGTACGAGGAGGGGGAAGAGGAGGAGGATGGATGGACAGCGCCTGAAAAGGTCGGGAGGTGACAGCATCAAAAGCACTTGGGGGAATCGACACGAGTTAAATCACCCCTGAGGCTCGCGCAGGCTCTTCCTTAGCTGCAATTCTGGCGACCACGGCCGCCATTCGCTGCCCATGGTCGAGTGCTGAGGGAGCATCCGGGAAAGCTCGCGGCACTGATGTAACAGTCAGACCGCCATTCGAACCAGCATACGTTTCAAACCAAGTCGTAACACAGGGAACGCCTTATGAAGCACTTCACGGACCTTCAAGTTGGGGCCAGGGCCTCGCCGAACACGACTCAGGACATCCAGTCCTTGACGCGTTGGCCTCTGGCAGACCTCGGCGAGCTTCACGGTTCCCCCTTGGCTCCAGCCCCCGCATTTCAAACACAGAATATGTTGTTCGCGACACGGGTCCCTGCGGGCCCCAAACCGAGGAGCATCAAGAGCCGAACCCGACACGTCGACGACGAGGTACCCCACGGGTTCACGCAGCAGTTTTTGGAGAGCAAGAGGCGGGCCACGACATCCAGTTACTGGCCTATCGGGTCGATCACACATCATCCAACACTGTCTGCATATCATGCCTAACTCTGGTCGACGCCACAGATGCCAGCTTCGACTCTGCTGACTGCAACCGGATGAGAAGAACAGGGCTCTCGTCCACACCTGACTTCGTTCTCGTACAGCGGAAGAAATGCCGACGCAAGCTTCACAAAAGCATTGGTTCGATCTTGATACAACTCAGCACGCTGCAAAAAAATAAGGGGAAGCCGCGGGTGTCCCTCAAGGGCCTTCTTCGCGTGCTCATCCACCGCACGATTCGCAAACGCAAACCGCCTCTCATCATCTTCCAGGGCCTCGAGAGCCTCCAGCTTTCGATGAGCCTTCACATGGAAGGTGGACAAAAACTTTGCGCCTGTTGGTTCATGGGCGATCCGCCGAGCACCAACAAACTTGTTGGTTCCAGCAAGCTGTTTCCATAGGCGCCTCTGGATCTGGCAAACTAAAGCTTTGCAATCCAGGGCCAGAGAAGTGGGGCGATCCGCTACTTGGCCACACAACGCGGCTGCAACATGTTCAGCCATCGCCGGTGACTGCGGCCGACCCCCTCCGAATTATACCCATCAAAATTTCTAAGAGAGATTCGGTGCCTTGCTCCAGCAGGGCGATTGACCACGACGCTCGATGCAGGCAGCGGAGGGCCTGCTTGGTGCAGCTCCCGTCTGCCGCCATTTCGAACGCCCCCAGATTTCCTGCCAGAGTCGCTAGCTCCTCGGGCTGCATATCCAAGTCGGCCCTTGTTCCGTCCAAAATCTCGCAGTGGGAGCTGGTGGAGGGAGGGGACACATCTACATCACTGAACACAAAACCACGAGTGAACACAAAATCATCGCTGCGTGCCCCCTCCTCAAGAATCGCCGCTGGAATGTCTAACTCGCTCTGGACCTCGACGGCCTCAGGGCGAGGACAAGTGTACAGACGGTGGTGCAAGGTATCACGCTGTCCAAACCACTTGCACATGCCATCCGTGAGATACCCTGCATCGCACGCGCGCCTTTCGGTCCAAATAGCGTCACACGCGCACGAAATCAAGAGAAACTGTTGCTGACGTGTCTGCTGCTTACCTCGCGTGCACATGCTCCCTCTGACGAGGTCAGACGTAGCGCGCGTGCCAGCTGGTTGCCCAAGACGTCGACTCAGTTTCAACTCAGCCTCGCGCTGGAAGCCGTCGCGGAGGAGGTCGAGGAGGAGGCGAGGGGGAGTCTTGTTGATATCAACGGCATTGCCCCAATGATCAAGCCACTGGGTGCCCAAAACCACCTTCCAACCAGCACGGCGAGCAGACAGAGTGGCATGTGAAAGTGGGCCGCGGCTGGACTTCCAATCGGCAGCGTCGCTGCCGCGAGCCTGCTCCCAAAGCTGGAGGAGGTCCTGGAAGCGGATGAGGGCGCGAATGGACTCGACCTGGGCATTCCAGAGCATGCGACGCCACTGAAGAGCCTGACCTACAGCAGCACGAGTGTCCCACTCACCATACAAAAACAACACATCCTTCTCAGTGGCACTCGTGCCTCCATGGGACGGCGGCACCCTCCTGGACCGTGCCCGTCGCACAATGTTGAGCTCAGCCTCCGAAAAAAACACAAAACCTTAGATCCGTAAGAAGACGCAGGAGCAACGCCTGTGCAGAGGAACTTCAGTCAGACCCTGCATTGCCTCCCAGTTGGGAGCTCGAGCTTTGAAACGCCGGATCTTTTTCAAGCGCAGTTTCATGCCCCACAGGCGAGCACGTTGCAGCCTGCCCACGGTCACTGCACTTGTACCCCAGAGTCGTCAATGTACGACGTGAACGTCACAAGCGGAGGCTGCCGAACAACGAACCAGTCGAACGATTCATTTGCGTGCACCTTGATACTGAGCCCGAAATCCGCATGAGCAACCCCTTTAGAGTGATGCTGACGCAATCGCCACACTCGAGGAGCGCGCCACACATTAAAAACTAGTTTCGTACATGCAGTGGGCACCGTGAGTGCGAGAAACGTATCTCGCAGCGAGACCAGAGGGATCGTTTCATAATACTTCGGTTAATCGCTCATGGTGAGCACGCTGAAACGACTCGAGGCCACGTCTGCCTCGGCTCTCGCCGCTTGCGCCCAATCGCAATCCACCGAACTCCTCCCCCGCTCGCCCCCCAGTACCCGCGCTCCACCTCCTCTGTAAGAGAAGTTAACATCGGTCGCCGCAACCGCTGCCATCCGCGATCTCATGCCGCTATAGAGCACTATCAACCTATGGCCCCTGACAGGCTTGGGCAGCATTGGCATGAGCAACCACAGCAACTGCTGGGGAAGGAGGCCGATCGCCTCACAACACTGCCATAAACCGACCAACACCTCTAGACCGTCATCGTCAAGCAGCACAAAGTGCCTGGGGTGGAACTGGTCCAGGGACCTGGCCGTAGTCTCCGAGACACTCCGAATCACTCGGCGAACCTCGCCGTGAGAAGCTTGGGGAAAACTAGCCCGATCAGGGATCCAGGCAGTCGGCGGAGTGGGCGTCGCTCGCCAGAGCTTCCGATAGACCTGCAGCTCGTGCTTCACAACACTATGGGGGTCAGCACTGGGGACTCGTGGGTCTTTGATAACCGTGGGATACACAGCGCTCCGAACCTTCGTGACCCTGTGAAGGCCCCTGGCTCCTCCCATGTTCGCAGTCTTGCACCCGTCGCTCCAACTAGCTTGGACTTCCTTCGGCTCGCCTTTTACAGCAACGTCAACGTCTACCGAGATGTCTTCGAGAAAATCGCTGACCCGCTCATGTGTGAATTCGTTTCTTAGCATCCGAGCCTGACCCACCGAATTTTCAAGTCTCGCGCTCAGCCCAAGACCTGGATACTTGCTGTCACGGGAAGCTGACAGCTCAGCAAGCATTACGCCTTGACAGGCGTCAGGCATGTGATCCAATTCCGAAAGTTGGATGATATGAGACATGCCATTGCGCAGCCATTGCCAGCCTTCAGCAATTAAACACTTCTCGGTTACATGGGGGACGGGGTATTCGACGTTGACCCAGCGCGGAGTAACCTGGCGGCCAAACCCGCCAAAGTTATCATTCACAACCCCAGAGCAAGCCCCGACGTAACGAGCAGTCAACTGAGCAGACTTGCCCCAACTATAAATCAACAACTGTGCACCACCCCTGGATCAGCCTTCTCATCATACGCCAACTCACCACACCGCTCAACCAGGCCCCTCACGAGAACCCAAGCAGGAGGAGAAGGCTGGGGTCCAATGGGTCTCGAGCGCGAAAGATACCCGTACCCTTACCCAGGCGGGGTGGCAAGGGGCGGGGGGGCGACACGCCGCAGCCGACGGCGGTTGCACAAGTGAAGATGCGACGGCCCATGGAACATTACAGAACGCTGTCTTCTCCGGGCATCCGCTGGCACCGAAGGCGCGCGCGTTCCAATCGGCAGAGTGGCCGACCGCACATTGGTCGCTCTCGGTCTAGAGTAGCTCGTTCGGAAGTGCGCCCACGAACGCACAATCAAGCGTTTAGGGCTCGACGCGCAAAATGCAACCTGGGTGTCCTGGGCGGGCGCCGCTGCAATCCCGCGCTCGCCCCAAACGCCTGGGGCCCCGAACGCCAGGCGCGGTCGCCAGGGGCTGCTCCCTGGAAAACCCGCTTGGCGTCACCCCAGGTAGTTGCAGGTACGTGTCGGAGGACACAGTCGCCGACGCGCGTTGATAGTGCCCCCAGACACGTACCCGTACCTAGTCGAGGTGGCGTTTGGTCGAAATCGCTCTCGGGCGCACGCGCGGCCCCCGAGAGCGCTCCCGAACGCGGCCGCAGCGGCCCTTGGGGGAGCGTGAGATTGTAACGACGCTCCTGCGGGCAGGCCCAAA